CATATAACCATAAGTATGACTGCTTTATTAATGGTTTAGACTTAATTAGAGAATATTTTGGCTTATATTCCTATTAATATAATTTATAATATAAATGGACAAATATTTTTACTTGTCAATTTATTTAATGCTATAACTAGATTTATTATTAATGTAGATATCAGTTTTCATAGTAGGATTTATTGCACAAATTAAAGTTGTAAAATAAGTAATTAGTAAATTAAGATTAAAGTTGGTTTAGTTAAAATTAAGTTTCTTAGGCAAGCACCATCTTCATCCTTAATAAGTCCGGTACAACAGACGAGATTGATTGCAACATGATAAGCACCGTCAGTGTTCACCTTCAACCAACCCCTGGGTGGTTGCTGCCAAACTACAAGTTCTTCCGACCTATGCGTCATACCTGAAAGAAAATAAAGATTTATATTATTAGCCATAAAAGTATAATCAGTTATGAAGGACACATCCTTAGTAAGTTCATCGATACTGCTCTTACTCTCTTGAAAAACAAATCTATTTCTATAATTTTATAAACTCCAGTAAGTAAAGCCAAATGTCACTCTCCAATCCTGAAATATCTTGCACCAGAGCCAATTATTTTTGAGGTTCAGCACGAACCACTCATTCACAGTACCACTAAAGAAAGTTGATTGGGCTTCAGCAGGTATGATCTTTAACCACAGCAGCTTGGCTATGTTGCAATTACGGATAACATGATCCACATTCTAAATAGGGTCGCCACACCTACTGCATTATGCAGTAATTACTTGAGAATTAAATAAATACCACATTAAATCATACAAATTATTTAGGAAAATATTTTATTTATGAGGGTATAACGAGAATTAACCATATTTTATGAGCGTATAATGAAAAAAAAATTATCAGTTCGTCAAATACTACTAATTTAATAATTTTTAAAATTTATCTAAAATTTGTTAACCGATACCATCTGTTACTATCCCATCAAGTTGTTGGTGAAAACAAATAAAATAGTATCATGATGGTGAAATAACATACATTAATTAACTATCCTTAATCAACCAAACCAACAGAGTGTTAGTCTCACGTCCAAAAGATTCCACCAACCCCTGCGACACGACCAAATAAGAAATTTGGAGGGAAAATTAAACTGGAAAAAGAAGCCCTAATTGGGGGAGACTGGAGAGGGGGTTTGGTCGATTGTTCTCTTTCATTCCTTTGAATTATCAATTTCTTCTTCATCATCACACTAACCATCAGATTATTATTTTTTATTATCAAATTTTCGATATCCATTTATCATCGTATTTTTGGTTATGCAAGAATCAATTTTTTCATTGACTAACAACAACAATAAGAGAAATGGAGGGAATGTTTTTTCCTCTTCTGCAAACCGCAAGCAACCGAGAATCCTTACTCAAACAGCGTTAGTTCATATTCTTCCTCTCGGTCTCCCTCTGCTTTCAGCAGTCACTGGCTTGGCTCTCGAATCGGTCTATCTTGAACCGGATCGTCCATATACAATTGGTCGAACCAGGCGGTCCTGTGATTTCTTCTTCGATAATCGCCTGGTCAGTAAGCAGCACTGCCAGATTCTTTTTGATAGTAAATACCGCAGAATTTATATTCTTGATGGCGCAATTATGCCGAATGGTTTTAGTTTTGGTTCTGTTGTTGATGAATTTAGGAGAATGTTGCTTTATGCTGATGAATTGGAAGAGGAAAAGGCGGTTATGGAATGTTACAGAGTTAGGAATTCATTGAATGGGGTGTTTGTTAATGATGTTAGGATTAGGAAAGGTATTGTTCGGGAATTATGTGCTGGTGATGATATTTTTCTTGTTTGTGGAAGTGATGGGGCTTGTAGTTCGGGGATGCGAATTGGTTTTGTGATCCAAGGAATTATTTTCAAGGAGAGTTGCTTTTGGCTTTAATGAGAAGAAAGTCGAGAGGCTGCAGTTACATGAGACCGAGACCTCCTCGCTACACTCTCAAGGAACTGTATCTAGTGGGAACAGAAACAAACGGGTTTTGCTTTGAAAGAAATGATACTACATCTCCAGCTTTGATTTTCACATCATATCTG